TAACAGTTTCTAATCCTCTTTTGTGACATTTTTGATCACATGGAACGAAATTTACACTGCAAGCAGAGTCTTATTTCTTGTTTACCTTCTGAATATCCACTACCCTCCCTCTAGTTTTTTTTTCAGACAAAACTTCCTGAGAAACTGTAAGAAATAAACTCTTTTGTAGTGATTTCACAATTTTGATGGGAGATGGGACAGCCTGTGTTTTCCAGAAAACATCTCTTGCTTTTTTAATTTAAGCTACCTCCGTTTGGTCTGTGTTACTGGTGTTAGCTCTGCTCTCGCACATTCCACGCATATTTCTCAAGTGAAGCAACATTTGAGCATTATAATATGCTGCTGGGGTGGACAGGACGGTTTCCTCACTCTCTTCCAGCCCTGAGTTATTTTTCTCAGCTGTCAGTGAGCCATAGCACCGTATCACAGAAGATTCCCTCACGCATGAGTTGCAGTGCAGTCAGTGGCATCAGCAGTGGAGGCTAGAGAAGGAGTACCTTTGTGATTTATTCATCTTAGTAGATGGTAGACTCATTAAGGTAACATGAAATTGGGGCGCGCTACTGCATTTTGCTCAGGTATTCTTGTCTTTATGCCTAGGCAGCACTGCAGTATTGCAATACTCATTCTGATCAGAAAAATAAGTTTCACGCTTGCATGCCAGCCACTAACTGCTCTTCCCAATGAGACTTCATAGTTTCTTGGGCACTCCTGCAAGCTGGCTCTGCCTCTCACTGTGAATCCTTTTGTAAGTGCAAGCTGATACCCTTATTTACGCATGCCGCAACCAGTTCAGTACATCCTCACTGCATGGCTAATCAGCATAATGAGCGTCACGGTCTGAACATCAGGACTAGCCCTTCTTTACTGGCTCAGGTGTGGAGAGGTCTGATCCCCAGTTTTTTAGGCGAAGGCATTCTTGGACTCTTTCCTGGGGAATTGGGATAGGTGTGGGAGGACTTCCCTGCTCCGTGGAGCTGTGGGAAAGGCACTGGAGGCCCATCAGCTGTTGAAGGGCTTGGTCTGAATTCTCATTCCGGAATAGGCGTGCTCTACTGAATGAAATGTCTCCCAGTGGGCCTTGACTCATTTCAAGCCTGGGTCAGGAGGTTTTTCTGTGTGTGGCTTGTAACAGGATTTGGACTAAACTCTTGAGTAAGAGAGTTCAGTCTTTAGCAAAGATGTACTTCTGGAGCATATTTTGGCATGTGCTGCTTCCAGTAGTTTTCTTTCTTAGGAAATCTATCCTAAAAAACAACTCTGTGGGGGAGTTCTCTCAAGTGATGGTTAGTATTGCCAGTATTCCGAACCCTCGTGTTTGGTCTCTATTGAGGGGTTCTTGCTAGTGCTGCCATGGAGCCAAGAGCATGACAGAAAGTTTGAAGACTTGTGGGAGGATTCAAAGCCAAAACTGGTTACTTGAAAATAATTTAAAAGGTATTCAGACAATTTTTAGAAATTCTGTGAAAGTAGAAGAGACTGAATTTTGCACAGTTTTATTACAAATAGAAATTTTTCAAAGGTAGGAAGGACTTGAGATCTCTAGCTGCTACTCATTTTGACACTAAGAGTTACACTGTATAAATGATAAAATACTTCATTGGTATATCCAGTATGACCACTGGCATGTTTCTGCGAGCACTGTGGATTTTTTAATTTTGCTAGGAAGGCAAAGCTCTGAAAAGTCTCAGGAAAAACATTAGCCTTTTCTTTCATTTGCTGTACTACCTGCAAAAACATGCAGAATTCAAAGGAATTTTTTTCCTGCGTTTGTGTAGAGCCTTAGTTCTCTTCTGCGTGACTGTCTCACCAGAAGACAGTCTGGGTGAATCGCAAAGCTTTCCTCCACTGAGGAGCTCTTAGCAAAATAAATGCTTCCAACTGCTCATGACACCGAATGCTTATGGAGGAAAAGTGGTATACAGTCTTGTTGGTAATAAGGAGGGGGATGGTAGTGATTGGCTGATGTCAACTCATTGTAATGTTTTGTGTTAAAAAAAAGTGTTTGAGACTGGGAAAGAGAAGCAGTAGGATAAGGCAATGTATTGGATAGATTATTACAGAGTACATTAACATGGTCCTTGAAATTTCAAAGACGCTTAAGCAAGGATCTTATATCTCTATAAAATGTAACTGAAAGATGGTTTTGAATTTCCTCGTCTTTGCATCTTTACTCAGTGTTAACAGAAATCTTATTTAAGTTTGAATCCTTCCAGTTTTAAAAGCTAAGTTTTAAAACATATTTATCACCTTTTCTCTGACTGCAGCACAAACAAGATTTTTATATTTTGTGTTTTAGTCTGGATTGATATTTGATTGATTTATCCAGTATTTGGAGGCTTTCACCTTATTTTTTTTCTGAGGCATTTTTCCTCCATGGATATTAAAATACAATTTTCCAAATAGTGGGGAAGAGTTTTGTGGGTTTGGGTTTTTTATTTTGTCTTGGTTTGGTTTTGGTGGGGTTTGTTTTGGTTTTTTTGTTTTGTTTTTTAAGTAAAACAAATAAATTATCCTTATTTCCAGTAGTTTGTGGATAAACCTACATTTGATGTTGCTGTTGTACCCAGTTGAAGTGAACGTGTCAAAGTTGCTTTCTGCAGACACTCTAACTTAGCATAACCCTTGTGAAAGATTTCTGTATATATCGCGCTTACGTCGAGCGTTCCCTTTCAATCTGCAGGGGTTTGGCACTGTATGCAAATTGCCCCTTTGATGTTTCTGCTGGTCATCTGAAGCCTGCGCAAGTGCCCCCTTCTAAAGCGTTTTTCTAAAAAAAGCAATGATTGTGCTCCCTCAAGTGGCAAAAGGCAGAATTGTTGTATGTCACTTCATAGATCATGTATGGGAGCACAAAAACTCCAGTTTAAAGACATTATTTAAGTGCAGTGCAAACATCTACTCCGTTTAGCCATAGCTGGAAGAAAAAAAAATCATTCTGTATCTGTCAAATATAAGACAATTAAATCTGCCTGTTCTTAAAACTGACTGTCCTGGGCATATCTTACAGGAACAATAGAGGAGGAATGCCCTTTTTTCCCCTCTTTTTTCTCCTTAAATAACTTCCCCCTCTGGATATTTTGATTCACAGTATAAGATCCTGCGTTTTGGTGTGTGATCCATGTCATGACAGGTTTGGAAGAATGTTAATCTTACCAAATGCTTACAAACACCCAAGGGGTGGTTGACTAATCAACATCAAATAAGTGGAGCCCTTTTAGTGCTGAACTGCTGGTCTGGCTGCCTTTAGGGATCCTTGCTTACCCTCTTAGTGCTTGTTGAAAAGCATCTCCAACCTTGTCTTCCCAAGGGCCATGAAAGTTGAGATAAGAAACTAGGGAGCAGGCATGAGAAATGTTCGTGCGCTCCCTGCCCACAAGAGACTCCCTGGGCTTTTTTTGCCTGCAGAGAGTAGCCAAGGGAAGAAAAGGGCTGAGATACTCACAGGCTGCTTGTGCTGCTGCTGAGGTAGCTCCTAACTTGTGATTTAGTAGTGAAATAATGATGTGCAATAATTTAGAATGGTCTCTCTTTCTTCTAGTCATAAATCTCCTTTCTTGGGAAGGAGAGGCAAGATATCTTGCTGTCTACTTGCTGGATTCTGTCCATGTTTAGGTGGCTTGAATACAGGAGACAACTGTTGCTGCAAATGCATGACTCTTCTAGTCTCCTTCTACCATCATTTCCATCTGTGCCAGTAGCAACTCTGTATAAATCCTACAATACTTATGCATACAGAGAATTGAAATGGTCCTGGGAAGCATCTCTAGGATAAAGAATAGGAAAAGCTTCAAGCAAACATGCCAAAAAGTTTTTTTGGTGTTTTGTTTGTTTGGTTTTTATTATTTCATGAAACTAGATGAGCCTTGGGTTTTTCTCCCTGTCAGTTCTGCCACAATGAGACTTCTTTTTCCTTTGAAAGGGATGCATGAACATTTTTAACGGTGTTGCTGAGTTAACCAGTCAAGATGAATGCTGCAGGGTTTGTAATGCTAGGGTCACTGGAGAGGAGCCACTACATCATAGACTTTTGAAATATAGTTTGCAAGTACAAATTCAGTTCTGCCGTTTTTAAGCTGCTTCAAAAAGCAAAACTGGATACACAGATTCAAGCTCACACCAGTTTTCATACCTGCTGATTTGTACCAGCAACATGAGACAAGATGTGTCTCATCTACTAGGCAACAAAGCCTTTATTTTTTCTTTTAAGTGACTAAATAGTCCGATACTTTTGAAGTTCTCGGCACTGCGGAAAAATTATGGCACTTATTTAAGGGTTTGACTATGCAATTAAGCATCTAATTTGAAACCTGCACACTCAATAATATTGGACTTTGCTACAAAGTTATTTCCTTTCTATGGTATCTGCCAGCTGCTGAAGTATGCATTAGTATATTTGACATATTAATGCATTCTAGTAATGGAGGTACCTGATCAAGCAGCAGCCAAATGATCACAAAATAGATGTCTGAGGTGAAATCAGAGACTGCAATAAACAAGGGAAAACTGCTTGCCTTTATCATGTGCTGACGGATAAAATCCCTATCTCCCATCTGACTTGAAAAACTGGACCAAGCTGGCGGAGCCCTTATAGTCTTAGGACCCAGCATCCCCTCTCATTGACGACCACATGCGTTATTTTCTTCAGTGATGATTTTTACTCCTTTCTCAGAGTCATTTTTTACAGGATTGTAGTATGCTCCTTTAATTCTAAATCAGCATATTCTGACTTGCTCATAAATTAAAATCAAATACTTAGCTATTACTAATACACTCTAGCATACCTGCTTATAACTAGATTCAGGCCTTTTCTGGTTACTGAGTGGAGCTTTCTCCCGTGTGTTTCAGCTGATCTGAAGCAGTGAAGGTAGCTGTGTACTGTCTGTGCACGCTGAATTACTGTGGGCACTCACCAGGTATTGCAGTTCCTGGTCTTTGCTTTACGGTATCGCATACCTATCACTCACTTGCCAGGTTCTGTACACTAGATGCTCGTTGAGATGGCATTTGAGTATAGTCCAGTTATTCCCAGTGGGGAGGTTTGTTATCAAACCGGCAGGAAAAGCGGCATTCGCGGCTCCAGCAGATGCACAAGTGTCATCCAGTTTGTACTGATCTGTTGAACAGCAAATGTGTAATGTAAGGGACAGTCAGAATATTACGAGACACGCTTTTAACACTGCAGAAACTATCTCAGTATTTAACATGCTGAGAGGACAAGCTAATCACGAAAGACTTGTCTAGATGTCTATGTTCCTTTGACTCCTTAGATATTTGTAGGTGCTGATGGCCAGTGTGAACTTTAAATCAATTTATTACATATGTTTACACATGCAATAAAACCATTTGCCATATCATTTAACTACACACAGAGTGAATTGTTGACCATGAGCTGATCTGACCTTTTCAGGTCTAATCAAGAAATCTGAAATGTTATTTCAGCCTGTCAGCTCCAGCAATATGCAGTAAGAGTATCTGGATCTAACTGAAAATGTCAGATGCGCTCTAATATGCAACCCATCAAAGTTATGATGCATATGAACCAAGAACTGGTTAAGAATATAAATCTGTAACATCCATGGTGCGTCTCAATTGCTTAGATAAATTGTTCTGCCATTGATATGGGCTAGCTAAAAACATTAAACAAATTCTTTGGAATACATATGAGATGTACAGTTGCTTAAATATTAAAATGATCTTGAAAGAGGGGTGATAACACCAGGTTAGGATATTACTGGGAAAACCAGTGACCAGTGAGAATACCAGTGCTCTAGTTAATGTCTTGCAAGTTTCGTTATGTGGTAATGTAAGATTAGTGGTCTTATGTAACCTCAAAATTTTCCTTTTTAATTTTAATAATTTGCTGCTTGTGAAGTTTTTACTCTTTCCAGAAATAATCCATTGTATAAGATGAGGTGTCCTTATCAATCTTGTTTGTGTTGTAGTATTAAGCATTTTTCATAGTCTTGTGCTTTTTATGAAAAAGTCTACTTCTATTTTTAAAAGCTTTCTAAAAACCAACACTGTTGTCAATAGGTTATCGTGTTTAATGATGTTTAATTTCTTTGGTTTTTACTAGATACTCAGATCTAGGATAAATCTGTCTAATAATTATTTATCAAGCATGAGACCAATTATTCATTGGTATAATTTCTGGATGATGAATTTAATTTTGGATTAAAGTGGATGGGCACAATGAAAAGCAACTTTGTATCCGAAGAAAATGGTGTTTTGTTAGCTAAACAGTCTATCAAGATTGTTTACTCTTAGAACAGTTGTTACACTAAAATTGAGTTGGCTTTTAATCTAATCATGGGTAGTTCATGCAATCTGGGGCATTATTAACTGAATTGCTACTATTAGTAAAATGTTATTGGAACTAGAATTAAAATGAGCTATGGGAAGCATTGCTGAACCCATAACTTTGCATTAAAGGATAGTGTATATTTTAAAGTACCCAGTTAATGCTCTTTGAACTGTTCTTGTGAGGCAATGCTGCCCTCCCCTGGTATGCTGCAGAAAGCAGGAATTTTTATCCCAGTCTGAGCATGTTCTAGGGCTTCCTATTAAAAAGAAATTGCTGAGTTGGTGAAAACGGTGGGAAAAATGCTCTTTAAAAGACCTTTATGTGCCTTCTTTATTACAAGACAAAAAAAAAAAATGTGGAACAGACATTTGTGTGGTGCTTTTATGTATGCATGGTGCAGATGTGGATGAATGTACAAATAATATACAGGAATATACCGTGAACACACAAGACAACAAATTGAGGGCTGAATTAAGTTTTGGGTGGCAATTTGGAGGATGAACTGAAGACAAAATAAACAGATGCCATGTAGCTGCTGAAAGTTAGCAGGACTGATTACAATAAACTTCTGTTTAACAGTATAGTTTTGTGTTGTATATAATGTTTAGAGACTTATAATTAATGTTTACATGTTCAGTTCTGCAATAGAAAAGTAAATGGGACCATGGCCAACAACTTGCATGGGAATAGGATTAGCTCTTGTGCAAATGAAGCTATAGTGAAACTGTTATCTTCTATCAGGGGCTATTGGTTGCAAAGATACCGCCGTAGGCTCAGGAAGTCCCTCCACTGCACGTTCCTGAGAGCTGAGGAAGGTAGTCCAAGGAAATGTTACTATTGCATGGTCTATTCTTAATATATTTCTTCAGATATCTGTTATTAACCACTGAATATTGGGGTGGAAGGTTCTTTAGATTGTCCAGCTATGGCTGTTGTGGGTTAAATAAGCGTGTTGCTATTTGCTTTAATTTTGTCTTCCTTCCATTTCTCACTGCTCGGCAGTTTCACCATAGTCCAGATAGCAGAAAGAGATGAGCCTTTTTTTCAAATATAAGAATTTTAGTTCCCACGTCTGACTCCAGAAAAGTGTGTATGGTGGGGTTTGGGTTTGTTTGTTTGTTTCTTTTTGATGTATAAAATATCCCTTTCTTTTTATAATTAAGATTTTTCTAATTGCTGGACAACTTGCAAAACACGTAACTTTTCTTCCTGTGGCGTATAACTTGACTTCTGTTTTGTTGGCTCTTCATCCCTCTTAATGCACTGGAGATCACCTAACACTAGAGAAGACTGGAGAGAGTATATTAAAATCTCTGGTTCATGTATTTCTTCATGTCTTAGATGTGAACAGATTGCCAGATTCAGGATCAGGTGGGAGTTTTTTTCCCCAGACTGGTTTGCTTGAGGACTTTGCTTGAGTGTGAGTTCTTATCTACTACTTAGGGTTAGGTCACTTGGGAGATGTTTTAAGAACTGTGGAATATAATGACATTCCCAGCCTGACCTGCTGTGGTCCAGCAGCATGTTACAGTGGTGGTGGCTGTTGATACTTTACTACTACCTTTTATAATAAGGTCCTAGGAGTTGCTTTGTGTCTATGGTGCCTGTAGGTCCACAAAGCAGGTGTGGACCATTTTGAACTAGACCCCAACTACTCAGTTACCTGTGACCGTGGCAGATGGGACCTGAAGATCCCAGTGGTCCTTCACAGGCTTCTGTTTCTAAAGTGACTTCGCTGACTGCAAAATAGTAGTATTTACCTTCATGTAAGCTAGTAGGCTATAGTAAGCAATCCTTTTGAGAGCTAGCTGTAAAACCATTGCCAAGTATGGCTCCGTAATAGTTAAAAGTGAGCTAAATCAACACCAAGAGGCCTCGTTCTGCCTCTTCCTTTGTGACACCCTGCCAGAGCAAAACCGGTTTTATACGTTCTTCTTTTTTGTATTCTGTCAGTGTAGCATCCCAACTCAGCTCATCAAATGGTTATGTGAATGGCAGCGGTGTCGTTCCTTGACCTAGAAAAAATGTATGAGGTCTAAGACTGTGTAACAGTTTTCTTTCTTCTCTGTAACTTTTGCAGGTATTGGGGCTGCTGGTATGGACCCTGATTGCTGGAACAGAATACTTTCTATATCCAGCCTTCGGCTGGGTGATGTTTGTAGCTGTGTTTTACTGGGTTCTCACCGTCTTCTTTCTGATCATCTACATGACAATGACTTACACCAGGATCCCCCAGGTGCCCTGGACCACGGTGGTAAATACACCCATTCTTTGTTGTTTCAGGTTTGCTGGGTTATGAAGAGAATAAAATATTGATGCATTCTATGGGTGTAGTTAACCAACTGTACTTGTGCTTTTTGCAGATTTTTCCCTAGTTACTGTGTGGCTGCGTACCCGCAGTGTTTAACCTTCATACTACGCAGACACATTTGAAACACTTTTCCTATGATATTTCACTGTTTTGTTCAGTGGTTGATGTAGTGACTTGATTTTTAATAATGTGACTGATACTTATGCACAGTGGCCTCTTTTTCTCCCTGTAGTGATTACATCCCATGAAGAATGAGTCAGTTGCTGCCTCTTGAGCTAAAAGACCTGGCCATATGGCTTAAACAGCAGAAATCCCTACTTGAATCAACACCATGAGTTGGAAGTGGGACCCTGGCTCTTAAAACATGAGTCTTCCTCTGCTAAAGTAAAAGCAAAGGTCGTTCAGAGGTAGCAACAGTCTGACAATCCGTATATGGCCTACTGTGAAAATGGCCTATGGCTGAAAATTAGTGTTATATATATATATGTAAAATACATGCCATGTAATCCTTTGCTTTTAGCTCAAGACTTAATGCAAATCAGATAAACAGCTAATGTAATTAGAGAAAAATTTCACGGGCACTTAAAATTCAGATACAGTGTTTGTGGTTTGAACAAACCTGGCTAGCTGTACCTCTCAACAGTATATTTTCACATGATTTTCGTAACAGGCTGGTGTTCAGGGTAATAGATCCTAAAAGTCATTGTCATCTCAGCCAACTGGCTATTTGTGACCCATCCAAGAATTATTATAAATTTTAGCTTTGCATTTGTCTGATACAGTGAGATACTGTTCTTTTTTTTTTTTTTTACTAGCTAAAGATTATTGACTAGAATTCTGTTAATTTTATGATAAAATATATTTGACTTCTGTGTTGCAAACAGCTTGTTATCAGCTATATTGTGTACGTGACTAAAATTGAATACTACTCTCTTATTTTCGTCTTCCCATTTGCTGCTGTAATAAATAGCCAGCTATAGCAATTACTAATAAGAACAACCAGGATTATGTTCAGATAGCTTCTCTATTTTCAAGTTTCATGACCAGCAATTACCGTTAAGGCTGTAACACTGCTATAGAAATGTTGGATTATTTCAATTACAGCAGTAATGTGTCTGGGTACATTTAAAGGTGTGGGTGGTTTTTTTTCCCCATTGCATTAGATGTAAGTAAAGTACATTCAAAGGGAAAGCATCTTCCTATCCATTTGGATACAGCTTTAGTCATTACCTGTCTTTCATCAGTTTAACATTGTTATCAGACAACAGTGGCACATAAATGACTTGCCCCTGATCTATGTGGTAGACAAGCTGGAGTATTTGATTTGTTTCTACTTTATATTGAGTGTATTTCTTGCTCTGAGTTCCAAATATATTGTAGATAAGATCACATAAATGTAGGTCCAAAAGGTAGTCTCCTTTTATAGTAAAGGGTAATATGAAGAGAAAATAAATGCAAAATAAATAAAAGACACTTGCATTCCAGCTTGTTTTGCCCTAAGGTGTTAAAAGAGCTGTTGGGAACAGCCTTCGGATTAGACTTCTGCCACTCCTGGCTGGCCAAGAGGAATGTTGGGTCTCTTTTAAGAGAGATGTTGTTAATGTCTTCATTCAAGAGAGCATGACGCATACCTTTTTGAGTGAGTGAGTTTACACTCACCTTCCCCCTATTCTCTGAAGTATCCTGAATTTCAGTCTCTGCTAGTTATTGCTCTGCCTCCTTAGGCGACAGTTCGCTCAAACTGTGCCTATTGTATGCAGTATCCAAAATTACATCTGGACTTCTCTGTCATAAATCCACTTTTTGCAGGTTAAGCACATTACCAAATTGCTTAAGATGCAGTTACTTTTACTGCAAATTAACCCAAAGGATGTGCTTCAAAACTGACTCTCCTTAATAGTGCAAGTTCTTTGCTAAAACAATCAATGGAAGCTTTTAAAATCTGGTAAATTTGAATTTAAGAAGCAGATGGTAATTTAGCATGAACCATTTGGTTTGAGTAATATATTGGCAGTAAAGGCCCAATCAGCTTGCATTGCATTCCATCTTCCCCAACAGTGTTATTTCCCAGAGCAGCACTTCTCAAAAATTATGTGCTTTTTTCTTTTCTACATTACAAGATATTGCAGGGATTTGTAGCTTTCCAGGGTAATTGAGTCTTTTTGGAATGGGAAATCTAAAAATAACAACAATATATACCTAGGCAATCAAATTTGGAGTTTGAAAATCAGTGCTTTACAGAAGTTCACCTGAACCTGCCAATTGTTGGCATCTTATCCTAAAATTGACAGTTTGATGTTTTATTACTGTAATGCCCAGATAAAAAAAGAGAGGTGAGATCTGTGGATAGTGATTATACCTTTCATTAGATCAACTGATATAGGTGAGATAAACCCCTCACACAATATATATACATTCATTATAAGTGTATGAATCAAACGTCAAGTGCCAGGTCTTGATCTCCATCTGAGTGCTGAGGCACTGCCCGTGGTTCCCTGTGGAAAGGTAGGTAAGTGGCTCTTTTCCAAATGCCCTGAGGTTGCAAGGACTTAGGAACCATAGGAGGACATGCATGCCCTTCAGCCTGCTCTTAAAACTGTAAGAAGGCTTTTTGCTTGGGAAGTCTTATATAGACAGTGGTGACCTGAAGACTGACATGTTGACAGATGACAGCACAGCATGCTGCTCTCTGGAGGGGCCTGCAGTTGAGAAAGCACATATTTGGGGGATGGCTTGCCTTCAGAAAGTTTTGAACCCTGTGTGTCACGGGAGCGTGCGGCAGTGGGCCAGACTCTACCGAGTCTGAAGTAAACTCTGCCAGAACCAAATGTCCTGGAGATTGATGCAAGGAGCTTCCATACCAACCACTTCAAGCTGTTGATCCACTCTTTGGTGCACTGAGGGAACTGCTGATGTGGATACAGCTGTTGTTGCTGCCTTCTGAACTTCTCTTCTTGGGCTGCAGCTCTTTTTTTAGATTCTGCCAGAGTTGGTGACTAGTAAATTCAATAGTGAATGATTGGCATATATTTCTAGCATCCACCGGGTCACACCATGGAAATTAATGAGTTGGAGCTGCACCAGTATGGCAACATTTAGAGACAACTGGGGCAGCAGAGGTAAGGGTTATGATATTTGTGTGACACTCTGGAGTGCAAACATGGCGCCAGAAACTGAAGGGAGCAGATCATGTACAACATTAGGACCTGGTCTAAATTGAGTTACTAATTCCTGCAGTTGTAACTAGGTGCAAAGCATGTCACGGGTATTCCACTTAAACATGGCACCAGTGAACTAAAAGTATATTTTATGGCCAAATTCATATGCCTTAGACAAGTAGCAGAGTGGAGTTTTGGGGGATTTTTTTTTTTAAATAAGGATGAACTTCCTATAGCCATGACCAAGCAGTAAGTAAAGGACAAAGTATTAAAATTACGTACTTTAAAAAAAAACCCTCATACCTTTTTATCTGTCTTTCATCTTCTTAGACTTCCGTTCTCCCTTCCTTTCCTGTTCTCTCTCACATGCAAAACCTGAACAAACTTCTTGTTTGTTCTCTGTAGTGTTGTGTGAGATCAATGTTATTTGCTTTGCTTCTTTCTTAGTAATGACCATAGGTACCCTGAGACATTAACTCTGCTCCTTGGAAGAGAAAATGCCACATCTGCCGTGGATGGGTCTTGATGACCCGTGTAGTCCATTCAGACTGTTCTCCTCGTTGGTTTTATCGGTTTCTTTCTCCTCTCAAACACAGGCGGAAGGGAAGGGTACTGAAGGGTGGAAGAATACGACTGAAAAACTTACACCCTCTTTATCTCCTTCAGAAGTGGAGAAAACAATGTTTTGGAAGCTTTATAAATATTCTTCATATGCCACAAGTTATTGATTCCTACAGTGTATCTTTGTGTAGATTAGAAATGTAATCAAATTGCAGTTTTGTTTTGTTTCTTTTTTTTTCATGTAGTGTCATATTCTTACTGCCTAACACTTAGATTGTGATAACCAAACTGTCTCCTTATTTTCACTTTTGGAAGATCACAGTACACAGCTTTAAGACTCTTCTGGGTTTAGTGTGATGAAGAGAACAGTTTGTCCAAAATGTGCTTTAATGTTTATGGATCTTCAAAATAAGCAGTTACATTTTAATCTTACAGATAGAAACTTAGAAGAAGGTAAAAATAGTTAAGAATCACATTTTTTGTGTACATTGGATGTGTACATTATATTCCAACATTTTGTAATGTTGGAATAGAAAATGGTAACAAATGCATGTGCATATTAATTACTCATGTTGTTTCGTTTTTCAACAGGGTCTGTGTTTTAATGGAAGTGCCTTCATTTTGTACCTCATTGCTGCCATCGTAGATGCATCTTCAGTTACCAAAGAACTGGACAGTCACAATTACAACAGCTGGGCAGCTTCTTCAGTGAGTTCATTTTTTGTTTAAATCAGTTCTATGTCCAAAAAAGTTATATCAAAAGAAGGCTCGCTGGAAGTCCGGGTTGAAATGCATGCGTTCTGGATTTTGAAAAGCTGCACACTGATACAGAAGCTCACGTACAAAACCTATAGGTAGCTGTAATTTAGTTCGTAGTTTTTGGAGGTGACTAGAAATTCCACCAGGAGATGACATTCACATCAGAAAAGGCTGTAATGTTTTTAAGATCATACTGTTTTTCCCCTCTCCTGCCCCCATTTATTACTAGCTCTCTGGCAGAGGTTATAGCCTGTACATCAGAATAGACAAAACAGATTGGGTGAGCACGAAGTCACTTCAGTGCACTTGGACAACTTCAAAAGCAGTTTAAACTAACTCAGCTAACTTTGCACGCATGTGTATAAGGGGCATTCAGCTTTTTGTGGGCTGAGGTATATACACAGCACCTTTGTGAAGATCCTGAAGTGGTGTTGCTGTTTCTACAGTGATCTTCCTATTGCAGCCTCAACTTTTGATATTCTTTCTTCTGAGCGGGGTGGGCAATACCTGAAAAATCATGTAACTTCCCAGTGTTTTAAAGTCGATGCAAATCATTAATTAGTCTGGTATTACTGTATTACTTACTTAGATTTGGAAATCCAAAGCAGTCAGTCAATGTGGGTGAAAAACAACTGTTTTTTTAAAAGAGCCTTATCACTTTTTAAGTAGGTGAACGTATTCTCTAGCTAAGTTAAGGGAGCTGTGAAAGACCTTTTTGCAAGTTGTGGCAACGGTAATCAAATTCAATTGTATAGAGTAATTCCGCATTACAGCTACTTTGCTGACTGTTCATGCTTCTGCAGTTGTCCTCTCCAGACTATTCACAAATCCTGTCTTCTGTCTGAAGCTTACTATATATGGCCGTGAACACAGATACTTGAACACCTGCTCTGTTTTTGTCTTGGGAATTGTCCCTGACACTTCAGTGGTGTTCAGGGTCTTCTCCCCTTGGCAGTTTGTAACTATTAATCTGTTAGCCACTGTTGTTGACAGGAACTTGCTTGCTGCTAGATAAGCTTCCATGCTGATTCAGGTTTTATATAAAATGCATGAATACTCAGTATCTCATGGGATGTTTGGAATCTATTCTAATACCTCTTAGTAGTGTTTATCTAATGCACTGTCTAAATAAACTATTAAATGTAGATTCTTGCTTTCTGAACCTGTTAAGGGTTTCATGGATGGATGTTTGTGAGAATTTAGCAAATCATCTATCCCCAACAGTCGTTCTCTGTTAGAAAGATTTTAGATGGAGCTTTTATTTCAGAGGAAACAAAATTATTGGGAAAAAAAGAATGCTACAATTTTCTATTGTAGTAATATTTCACATCATCATCTACAGTTTTTGGTGCCACAGATTAAATTCACGTTAGACAAGACTCACCAAGAGCCCTCTGTTGGAGGGCTTAGATTTACTGCCTGTATGCATGCTTAGTAGTGCCCTGCTCTCAGAGCTGAAGTGCCTACCCAGGCCAGTGATGGTATATAAGCAAGAAACATTGGTAGGATCATAAAATATTTTTAGTCTGGAAGGGACCTTTGGAGGTCATCTGGTCCAACTCTCTCCCCCCTTAAAGCAGGGCTAACTCGTATCAGGCTACCAGGACCTTGTCCACTTGAGTTTTGAGTATTTCCAAGGATGGCTGTTCCACAACGCCTCTGGGCATCTGTTGCCGTGTTTGATTACTCTCATTGTGACTTTTTCTTTTTCCTAATATCTAATTAAAATTTCCCTTCTTGTAACTTGCGTTCCCTCTTGTCTATCACTGCTTACCTCCAAGAAATGTAGTGTTAATCCTATTTGCAGTGTCAGCTTTATTTGGTTCGCTTACCAGTGCAAAACATTCTGGTCTTATCGTAAAACCATTTTTAACATTGTCTATTTTGAACAACATGCAGTGATTAACAGGAACTTAACCACTGGCACTGAACTGGACTTTATCAGTACAACTGAAGTAGTTCACAGCTGTTCTTTGGTTTCTGTGTGCATATGCTGCAAGGACTGCAGAAGCAACACCACTGATACTGTGTAGTTTTAATCTTTAAATATAAAATAAATCTAGCCTGCTACAGAAGGCTTATTCTGTAATCACTTTCTGACAAAGTAGTGATATATCAGCATGGTTGCTGTCACTGTTAACTTGCATTGAGGAATACCTTTATTCATCAGTAGGGAACCTCTGGAATTGGTAACCTAATCGGTACTGGTGTTTGAGAACATGTCTGGGCCTGCATTGAATCCAAGTTTTCTCTGTAAACAAGCTATCTTGATGCACAGTGTGCCATACTGAGGTACAGGTGGGCTGTAGGCAATTCCTGGAACATAGCAGCAATGCAGGAGTATTAGCTTAAGCTCACACTGTCCCATGGGCCATCCCTCAGTCTTTACTAGCAACTGATGTTAGAACCAGCAAGTATAGGATTGGTGGGAGTCCAATCTATAAGATCCATACTGAGGCAGTATAATGTGGAGATAGCAGCTGAAATATGCCATGTTTTGTCTGCTTCTAGGCCCATATTTCTATGCATAATACAAGCTTACTTACACAGTGTTGGCTGCAATGGCCGCACAAGTATAAGGAGGTGAAAGAGTGCCATTTTAGTCAGCTTGCTATTTCTCCTTTTTCCAAATCCCGTAGCTATTTTTCTTTCATGGAAATGACAGTGCTCTCAGATACATTTTTTTTCCCTAATATATTTTTTTTTTTTCCCCTCTCTCTACAGTTCTTTGCCTTCATGGTTACCTCCTGCTATGCTGGAAATACGTATTTTAGCTTTATATCTTGGCGATCACGAACTTTGCAGTGAATATTTTGTTAAAATGAATTCTGTAGTACAAAATATCTGAGGATTATACTCTTTTGATAAAAGCTTGGAAGAGGGATGAGGTCTTTTTGAACATTTCTGTTAGAATTGACACTATATTTTAAGCTGAGATTAAAGTAATTATTTATAATACAATATCATCTTTAGAGACATCTAACACCAACTTTGTACTGTATAATAAAATTTCGTACTGCTTCTTTTAAAATTAACATGGTATTTTTCTAGACATTGTATAGATGTTATTAAAGCTTTAATAAATCTTACTCAGACAATGTGCCAATTTTGTAAATGTAACTTTTTAAATGTTACAGGTATACTTTTGATACTGAATGCTACAAATCAAAGCTAAGATTGATACTGTCTCATTATTATGTATAAAAAGTGACATTGTGCAGAAAAAACCCACGCTTTAAAAATAAATAAATAATTGACCCAACTGTGCATGTTTCGTAAACTGGGAGTAGAAGGTTGCTTTTTAAATTTCTTTTTCAAAGTAAAATATATACTACTAAGAATTCTGATGATCCTGTCAGTTTGCATATTCTAACAGCTTCTCACAATCATGAGATTGCTTTTGGAACCTGTTAGTGTAGGTCTGAAGCTCACTGAAGGAGTGTTGTGCCTGAAACACATTATCTTAACAGGTTTCTCAAATCCAGCAGGCTCCAAGGCATAAGTCTAGACAACAGTCCCTTAGTGCTCAGTGTTTAACCTACTGAGAATATCACAAAACACCTACTAAAGGTAATACATTTTGTTTCTCAGGGGATTTTGTTTTTCTCTTTTCTCAGATTAGGCCATTAATCTGTTCTAATTAAAATCTGGGCTTCTAAATCCTATTAAATGATATAAAGATTAAATCCATAGAAGAATTGTCAAGAAGCCAGTGCTAGAAACAAAGAATTTCCTCCCTCCTTTCCTGTCTACCGGTATCATCTGTGAGTTGTTAGTTTAACAAATGAAGTTTTTAATTTGACACTCATATTTAAATATCTTTGAGTCAAGCAGAAGTATGACAGAAGATTATGACTTTCGAAACAGATGCCTTTGAAAATTACTTTCAAATACAAATTACCTAAGGAATTTTTTCCAGGAATTATGTGGAGAGTGTGAGGTCATGATTACTTTGGGATATTATTTAAAGTTTTCCTCCTTTAAAACTACTGGTAAATCTCTTATTCCTGGATTAAGAAGATTTGGACTCTCTTCCAGTCTTCAAGAACTTAGCTGGACGATTATATATGGTAGTAGAGAAATCTTACTGCTTAAAAAAACTTTATTTCTCCCTGTAACTAAATGGTATGTGCTTACTTATGTGTGTGCCCTGCAGCAAAGAAGATTTATCAGCAGCCAGCTAATTCTGTTCTCGATCACATTGTTTTGTTCTTGGTTATCTGTCGGAGTCACAGGATTTCAGTGTAAGGGAAGCCAAGATATTATTTAAAAACCTATATTTGTCTGCAGATTGCATCTGGCCTGTACAACAAAGGTCAGGCTGTTTGCTGCTTGCTAAAATTACCCAGTTGTGAGAAGGAAGAAGGGCTACCAACTATGCATTTTATCTACACAGATAAAATGTGTCATTAAAATCCTGTATGCGCTTTTCCATTGCTGGAAAAAAATCAAAGGCATAAAAATGATCCAAATGTCACCTGATAGAATGTGACTAGAAATATAGCCAGAATTAAAATCTCATCAGTGATTTCTCATCAGTAAAAATGCTTTCGTAGTAACAGAAATTCTTTCTTAAATGATATTTGATGTACCTCTCTTAAGTACAAAGAACGTGACTGTGTTTGCACAAATGTTTCATGGTTTTATGTTAACTGCGATGGTCTAAGGTCAGAACCCGGACAACATTTGTGGAGAGAGGTAGTAAGAGGGAGTAGAGCTAAGAGGGAGTAATATTTTTCATCCAGTTTATCAAAAACTGTCATGGAAACTCTGTGTTACATGTCAGAATAAACCCATTAATGAAGGACAAAACCACACTATTACCAGATAAGGAATGATTCTGGCAAAATATCTACCACCTCTCAGAGTCTTCAGCGCTGATTCTCAAGGGAAGATGTGTGGAAAGTCTTCCAAAGGCAAACCTGTGAGTTGAATCCTTAATTCTGAATTTTAAAAATACTAGGCAGAAATTTGCATGCTTGGCCTTACTTTTTTTTCACAAACCATAACTTATCTGCCTTGCTCTTTCCTTTTAGAAAGACAATCATCTTACTTCCCATGCTCTTTCTCTTCTGTCTCATTTCTCAGCTGTTCCCCGGGTACCAACTGTCTGTTTTTCAAGTGTTCTGAATATCTAGTTAAAATCGGAGGAATCAGTACAAGCTGAGAATTACTTCTGAAGTTTGTTCCTCCTATTTCAGGTCTGAAGAAGGGCATAAGCACCTAAAAGTTATCTGTTTCTTCCAGCGCATTAGTCTTAAATACTCATTTGCAAACTGTGACTTACGCCTTTGTATATTCTAATATTGGTAAAGAAGATAAGCTAAATGGTTTATCATTTAACAATTAAAACAAGATTTGTGGCTGCAGGCATTGCTTAGTGTTCATAAGATTGAAAGAAACCTTATTTAAAAAAAACAACTGGTAAGTGATGAGATCACTAGTGAAATTCTTAATACAGATATGTAGAAGAATAAACAAAATGCTAATCAACTTGCAAAATGAAGGTATTTGACATTATAAATAACTTGTTTCAAACAAACAGTCTCTCTGAAAAATCTAAGTCATCCACATCCAATACTTGATGTCAACTTATGGCCATCAAATTTCATTTATTAAGGAGTTGTCAGTACCTCTTATCATCATTGTACATGATGCACTTAAGATGAAATAAATAGCATGAGAACTGTAATAAAAACTTCAAATTCAGCAGTGTTTTAGACTGGCTTTGCGCCAGTGGTTTACAGAAGATGCCTGTATTTCTGAGTAGAAAATATGACTGTTATTCTACTTGTATTAATTTAAAGGTATTTCTATTTCACTGGGCTGAACTCAGATCAGCAGGGCCCCAGTCATATACACACTTTCAAAAGAAGTTAAGTAAAGAAGCTGAATCAGCGGGTAAGAAAAATATATTTCTTAATAGGAAATACGGAAATTACTAGAACCTTCCTCCGCAGGGCTTGCACTATAAATGTGCACGCTTCTGAACTTGAACTGTAAGGAGAAGAAAAGAAGGAAAAAAAGCAGCTGTTTAAAACAAACAACAAAAAAAAGCTCTTTCTCAGCAGCTAGCATTTTACTCTTGTGTAGATTAGCAATGTTATAGCTAATGAAATGAGATAAAATTTGGTGGGACAGGTAATATCTTTTATTGCAACTACTAGCTGGCTTAATAGAAGCCCAAAACTAGGTACTGCTTAGTCTATTACTGACCATTGCCCGTACTGGCAAACCCTGTCTTGCTCATGTAAATTACTTAGGCCAGCCGCTTATTTGTGTTGGAGATCACCTGAACCTACCTGTCTTCCCTCCTAAGCCAATTTTAGTTGTTGAAGGAGTTATTAAATACTAAATATGAACAGAATGTGCATCCTAACTGCAGAACAGAGCAGCAGCAGATGGAGTCACTACTCTAATGAGTATAAAAGTGGCATATGCCCAGCTCGGAGGCCTGCTATTACCTCACTTGTCAGAAAGCAAAACAAGTTATTTTTAAACTTGAGGAAATATATAGCTTCCTTTGCTGAGTTTTGTTAGTATCTCTGCATGATTTAATTCAAACAAAGGGGTTGAGACGTTTGGACAGTCATTACAGTTTTGCCTGTCGCTGCCCATTTAATGCAAATGTTTTATCTTTTACGAGATCACGAATCAGAAGGTTTGGGGTTTTTTGGTGAGAAGAAATGTTGTGTGGGAAGACGCCGTTTGCAGCTGTACCTCCACTGCGAAGCACCGGAGCAGCTCCTCTCCAGGAACATCGCTGGCAAACTTGGACACGCCGAGGGGTCTTTACCGTTCGAGTAAAACTGCTAACCGCTGTGGCGGCTGGTTCAGCGCGGAGCTTCCCCTCCCGGGACCCCACCACGTACAGTGAGGCGTCCCTCTCCCTACTTGGAAATGTTCGCCTCGGCCTTTATTTTCACGTAACC